GAAAAAAGAAAGAAAGAGAGAGACAAATGGAAATTCTAGAACTTAAAAACACAACTTCTGAAATGAAACATTCCTGGATGTGTTCAACAGCAAATAAGAAGCTAGAGAAGGGTCAGTGAACTTGAAGACAAATCAATAGAAATTATTCCAGCTGAATGAAAGAGGAGAAAATATTTAAAAGAATGAAGAGCAACTTAGTAACTTAAGAGATAATATCAACTGGTTTAATGTACATGTGTTTGGAGTCTCAAATCAAGGGAATAAAAAGAATATACTTTTAAAAATAACAGAAGAAATGTTCACATACTTTCCCACATTTTGTGAAATACATCAACAGATACAAGAAAATCAACAAATTATAAGCAGGATAAATTCAAAGAAAATCCTATGTAGACACACCATAGTCAGACATTCTAAAAATCGAAGACCAAAATCTTTAATTCAGCTAAGAAAAAAAATATTACGTTACAGAGGATCCACTGAAATTATGAAGTCTAACTTTTCATCAGAAACTATGAAGCCAGAAGACAATGAAAGTGCTAAAGGAGGAAAAGGTCAATCTTAAATCATATATACAGTTAAAACGTACTTCAAGAATGGAGGTGGGGCCAAGGTTGCAGCTCAGTGGTAGAGCGCTTGCCTAGCATGCCAGAAGCCCTGGGTTTGATCCCCTGCACCACATAAAAATAAATAAAATAAAGGTATTGTGTCCATCTACAACTAAAAAAAAAAAAATGGAAAAAAAATGAAGGTGAAATAGACATTTCCAAGTACATAAAAACACAGAGAAGTCATTATCAGCAAACCTCCACTATGACAAAAATTGAAGAGAGTTCTTCAGGCTCAAAGAAACTATCATCTAGAAAGAAACACAGCTCTGTAGAAGTAAAGAGGAAATGTAAATATGTTGGTATGTTTCCTTTTTTAGGAAAAAAAATGCTGTAAATGGACACAATACCTTTATTTTATTTATTTACTTTGATGTGGTACCTCATATGTGCTAGGCAAGCACTCTACCATTGAACTACAACCCCAGCCCCTTGCCTTTTTCTTAATTACGTTCGAAGTGTTAAAAGTTAAAAAAAAATGTATTTTGGTTTGCAATTTGTGTGCACATAAAAATATGTGACAACAGTACATAATACATGATTGTGAACATACTATAGACTTTAATTTCTGATGTCTAACATTTATTGTAATTGAATGTCTTTTTGGCATGCCTACAGTTTGCCATTTACTGTTATTAGCCAATCAGACGAACAGAAGAAATAAAAGGCATGGTCCTTGACCTCAAGGAACTTATAAGGAACTCAGAAATGTGCCACACTAAAATACCTTAATAGTAATTCCAAAGTACTAAGTGAAAGACCACATGAGTTAAAATGTCTAGACTCTCCTAGGCTTTATAACACCAGGGACTGATAACACTCACTCCTAGCCCTTCTGGAGATACTTATGAATCAAGAGGAAAGGGACTAGGATTCTCCTCATTTCTGGAGTATGGACGTCAGCCCCACCGGCCAGGCCTCTGTGTGCAGTGAAACTACATAAAAAAAACCGCAAAGCCTCTGATCCAAGTGGAGAGGAGGTGACTGGGGAAGAGTTGCAGAATCCTGAGTTGTGCATTAAGTAACTTCATGAACCCAGACTGTTCTTAGACTCAGAGGAAAAAAAAAAAAAAACATGATTTCTGCATCTGTTTTCAGGAAAAACTTCCAAGAACCTCAATTCTGGTATGTTTTTGAAAGTTTTATATCCAGCTTGGCTAAACTTTTCTTGGTCTTTCTGTTCCAAAGAATCTTTTTTTTTTTTAATTTTTAAATTTGTTTTAATTAGTTACACATGACAATACAATGATCTTGACATATCATACATTTGAATCAGATGGGGTATAATTACTCATTTTCCTGAGTGTACAGGTTGCAGAATCACATTGGTCATGCAGTCACGTATACACCCACAGCAATAATAATGTCTATTTTATTCTGCTGTCCTTCCATTTCTCCCTCCCCCTCCCCTCCCCTGGGAATGTTTTATATTTACATTTCTTCTTAAATTTTCAAATTTTTAGGGAAAATTATAATGTCAGGTGTTCAAGTAAAGGATAAAACATAACGGTTTTTACTTATTTGTTCATACTGAATATTAAATAGCCAAAGAACATTACTAAGCAGTAATTCTCTGGAAAGATTTTTGAAGGAGTCTTTCCCCCCTTGCCATTGAACACATTCACATATTCATGCACACACATCCATCTGTGCTAGTATAAATATTAATTTAAAATTTGGCAGCATGATTATCTTAAAAGATGAAACAAGTCACCAATTGCCAAATTGGGAATTAATGGCTCCTGCCACTTAAAATTATAATTAGATTTTTTTGAAAGGTATAGAAATTTTATTTTAATTTTTGTTCTAGGAGGAAATTATATAATTTATATCTTAAAGAAGGTAAAATAAAATATAGGATAATTTTTATAACTGTGTCCTCAAAATTCATGTTTCATAATTATTGAAGTGTCAATATACATTGTAGAAAATTTTGAAAACACAAAAATAATTAAGAAAATTTAAACATTCATAATCCCCTCACTCAAAATTAAGCAATGCTAACATTTTTGTTTTCCCTGTGGTCTTTTCAGCATACACAGACATATTCAGACAATAATATAAAGAGTTATTTAAAAATAACTTTTAGATTATACTGCATTAACAGTTTCTAATGTTTTCTTTAATGAAACCTATTATAAAAGGTATTTCAAACACATCATGTTAGATATCTGTCATAATTATTATCTCTGTGCCATTATGGTAGCCATACTCTAGATGATTACTGTGTTCATGATCCTGTGCAGCTCCCTCCCACAATAAGTACAGCTAATCTGTGTAACCTACAAGATACTAAAGCAACTTCCTGATGGCACAGGAAGGCACTAGTCTGCGTGTTCCCTTAGGAATTTGCATAGCAGTGTGAGATAGGGTAGGTAGGACACAAGGAGAGTGCTGAGAGCCACAGCCAGTCAGAATGGCCCCTGGCATTTTGCCAATAGTATTGGTTGAGAGGCCAGCCATTAAGATGATGCTGGATTGATTCAATTGTATATTAGACCTTTACTGTCTGCCTTGCCCGCTACTTTGGAGCTCTCAAGGGGATTCCTCAAGAGTTCGAGTTGGTTGGTGAAGTTCCAGTGGTGGGAATTCCGGTTGGTGTGTGGTGTGTTCCTGGAGGAGCAGTGTGGCTGGCGTTTGGGAGAGTTCCCGGGGAGGGTGTGTGGAGTGTGCTGGTGGAGTTCAGAAATAAAGTTTGTTCCTGCTTGAGTGGCTCGTGATTTGTGCCCAGCCAGACTGCGGCAGGAGAGGGAAAGTGACTGGAAAGCTTTGGTTGATTAAGAAAGGGCACCCATAGAGTTGCTCAAAGGGACTAAGGCCCGAGGGAGCTCTAGAGGCTGCCTGAATTCGGGTGAGGGTCAACAGCAGGAAATGGGGCCAGGAAAGCCTGAGTTCAATAGCAAGAGTATTGAGGCCTTTGTAGACTAGTTGAGCAGCCTGAGAAGTGAAGGTGATGGTTGTCTGACTGGATAGAGGTGGGAAGTCCGAACCTGGGAATGATCTGCTCGATAAGGATGGAGGCGATGGTGCCAGCAATTTCTCTGGAGGTCGGGAAGGCATCTATCCAACCTGAAAAAGTATCCACTGAAGTAAGTAGGTAGCAAAGCTTTTTGTGCCTAGGCATGTGAGTGAAGTCGGCTGGTGGCTCCTCATCTGATGTGTGGGGAGTTTCGGTTTGACGCTTCCTTGTGGGGATACTGTAGAGCAGACAGAACAAGCGGAGTGGACCTGCTGGAGAGTAGCATATGACTTCCAAGGTGAGGTCATAAAGGACACCACAGGTCCCACCATGCTCTTTTCTGGATCATTCCACTATGGGAGAAGAATGGCTGACAAATCCTGATGATTTAAGCATTCCTGTGGAGACCACTTCAAGTGGAAGAAATCTAGGCTTCCTGTCAACAACCAGCATTCATTTCTCAGGTACTCAAGTTGGTCACTATGAAAGTAGATCCTTCCACCCAGGACAAACTTTCAGATGACTGTAGCCTTAGCCAACTGAATGTCATCACAGAAACTGAGTCAGAACCACCAAACTAATCTGTTCCCACAGAAATTGTGTGCATTAATAAATATGTATTGCTTTACACATCCATATTAGGGCAAACTTGTTGCACATAGATAACTAACGGTTATGTCAGAACCAGAAACGGGATACTACCCTGACTAAAACCCAAAATGTAGAGGTGACTTCACACCAGGGAAGAGGCAAAGACTTTGAGAAGCAAAAGTATAAAGTATATTGAAGAAATTTCTAACAGGAGCCTGATGACCTTCAAGGATGCTGCTGGTGAGGGCTAAGAGAAAAATCTGGAAAATGCTTTCAGAAACTAAAAGATAAAAAGTTTTTGTTATACAGTGGTATTTAACAACATTGTCACATGAAACAAAAAAAAAATGGAAAAAAGAAAATGTATCTAACGAACCGGTTACCTAGCTAAGCAGATATCCAAGCAGTATTGAAAGAGCTGCTTGAATTCTTCTTGCTGCTTATAGCAACGTGTGAGAGGAGAGGTAAGTTACAGGAAAAAGTGTTAAACCAGAAGGAGTCAAGACATTCTGGTTCTGAAAGTTTCCAATGCAGACAATGCTAAAATTGTCTATGTAAAATGGTATCCAGTCAAAGATCCATCCAGGGAAATGTGGTCCAAAGATGAAACTGAGGTAAAGGCTGCAAAATTTTATTTTCATGATCAAGAAAAATCTAAGTGAATGATTCATATAACTATATAATGCTTCCACGAAGCCTAAAGGCATTGTCCCTCAGCAGTTTCAACAAAAGCCCAACATTTTAAAATGGCCTATCTTGAAGAGATTTATTGGTGTGCTTTTTGCCTAAATGGAACAAACCTTACTTTAAAAACCCTTTTGCAGATAACCTACAGAATTTAAGAAATACATGTTGGCAGAAACTCTGTTAGGTTGAACCAAATGAGCAGAAACCATACAAAATGAAAAAGTGTCTTCAGATACCCAAATTTTGATAGGTAGGAATTAGACTGAGGTTATAAATGATCAACTATAAAATATGAGTTAACTTTAATGGAACAGGAAGGAAAACTCAGAAAGTTAAAGGAAGAGCCAGAAGTTACAGCCAACAGCTGTGGAAAATCATTCCCAAAAAAGAGTAAATCTGAGTCCTAATTAAAGAACTTCCAACATTTGCCTAAGTGGATGTAGAATTATTATGGCATGGGGTTGGTTGGCGATTTAGCTCAATGGCAGAGCACTTGCCATAGCACACGTAAGGCCCTGAGTTCAGTCCTCAGCCCTTAAAAAAAAAAAAAGAAAAAGAAAAAGAAAAGAAAAGAAAAAGAAAAAAGAACTGCTGTGGTAAGAGGCTGCCTCCCCACCCCACTTTCAAGTGGGTATATCCATAGTCATCATCCTATGACAGTCCATTATTTTGTGTCAGATGTGAGAGGAGGAGATAACTTGTCTCATTAATTCACAGGTCTTCGGATTGAAAGGAACTGTCCTGGAAGGTATATATTGAAATAACTCTACCTGAGGAGGTTTACCTGCCCCAGACCTGCTTCAGTTATGAGATTCTGGATTTAGAACGGATGCTGTAATGGCACAAAACCCTTTGGGGTCTCATGACGGTGAATATATTTTGCATGTGGGAAGGACATGAATCACTGGGGCCTAGATAACAGATTACAGTAACAACCTCCTCTGTCACCCTTAGTAATTCTTGACTCTTGGTCTTCATATCATTATTTAACCCCCTACCACAAGGTATAGGATTGATCTGTGAAACCAAAAGGGAATAGTAAAAACAACAGTGTGACTTCATAATAGGCATTGTAGCCTCTGCTTTGTTCTCTCTTGGATCATTCACTGTGGGAAAAACCAGTTGCCATATCATGAGGACATGTAAGCAGTCCTATAGAAGAGATCCCTAGGGTGAGAAATTGAAACCTCAGTAACCAGCCCTAACTTATCAAGCCCTGTGTGTGAGAGTCCTTGGAAGCAGATCCTCCAGCACCTACCTGTCAAGCCTTCTAATGACCTCGGCCTTGGCTGACATCTTGACTGAAATGTCGTGATAGATCCAGAGACAGAGCCATGTAGCTGTATCACACAAAAATTGTGTGAAATAATGAATATTTATTGTTTTAAGTAATTTGTTATGTATTAATAGGTAAAAAGAACATACTTTATTTCGTAATGTGAATATACCATAAGTTATTGACTTATTCTCCAGGGTTGAACATTTAGATTGCTTCTAATTTTTCTTCATTACATGCTACAGTTTGGAGATCATTTGAGGGTTTCCCCTAAAAGGCTCATATGCTGGTCCCAGAGTTGCAGTGTTAGGGGGCTACTTGAATCTTTAAAATGTGGAGTGCAGTGGAAAGTAACAGGAAACACTTCCCTCAGAAAGCATTAAGCTAGTTGTCGTGCAATCCCATGTAGTTCTAGTGAGATGAGTTGTTATAAAACAAGAACATCTCATTCATTTGCCCTCTTCTGCATGCACCTATTTCTCTTCTCACTTCTCTGCCTTGTTGTGATGTATTATCAGGGCCTTGTCAGAGACTAAATATATGGGTCTGCCCAATATTGGGCTTTGCCTTTGAAATTGGAATCTAAATAATAAATAAATAAAGTAGCCAACTTTAGGAATTTGTTACAGCAATAGAAAATGGGCTCAAACATTACCCAGAGAGAGCTGGGGCTGGAGCTCAATGGTAGAGTATTTGCCTAGAATGTGTGAGGCACTGGGTTTAATCCTCAGCATCATGTACAAATATATAAAAATAAAGATGCATTGACAACAAAATATTTTTTAAAAAAATTACAGAGAATACTGTTATGAAGAACCTAAAAAATAATAAGTTGAATAAGTGCACGTAAACTGAATTCTTAGAAGTGAAATTACTAGATACAAACAATGTGTGTTTCCACATGCATCACATAAAAGAGTCTGCATTTTACATAGTTACAGGAATGCCTTAAAATCATAAGATAAGGATAATTACTATCAGTATTCTTCTTTAACATTGTACTATAGTTGGAACACTTAGAAAGGAAAATGAAAGGCAGGTGCAGCGGCACACACCTCTAATCCTGGTCACTTGGAAGGATGAGGCAGGAGGATCACAGGTTCAAAGCAAGCCTGGGCAATTTAGCAAGACCCTGTCCCAAAGCAAAGAAATTAAAAGGGTTTGGGAATATAGTTCAATGGTTCAATGAGTTTTCCTTCATTTCTGTAGTGTCCCACACATTGGAAAGTTGAGTATGACTGTCAATAAGCTTCTTGCGTAACACACACAGCCTTTTCCTCAGTCTGGAAAAGAAAGAAATTGAAATGAAAGACATAAGAGGAAAAATTTAAACTGCCATTATTTTCATTTAAATGGTGAATATTTGGAAAATATAAGAGAAATTATTGAAAAACTTACAAACGACAAGAGAATTCAGTAAAGTGACAAGAAACCAAAGACCTATGCTTTTACCTTGAATGTCCTCAAGAGGCTTTGAACTGAAACCTGACCAAGTTCACTTAATAGACATGGGTAGGGGAAACATAGAGCTGTATATGGATTGTATCATACTTAATTCAACAAACAAGTTATACTGATGCATACAATAATTTCAGCTTAAACACCGCATGAATAACCCTTCTACGTTTGCACATGTGCCTATGGAAGATTTTGAAACTACAATTAGCAGGAGGGGAATAATGGTGCATCCATCTAGCTGTTGAACGTGTTGTTCAACCTGAACCACTTATTCCTTACTTCAGTCCCTATCCCTTCTCATACTCCTTTAAATAATCTCCTTTGAGCTAAATAAACCAGGGCTGGGCTGATTAGCATTTTGCTTCCTGGGCCACGGTTGAGTTCCTCTCCCACTCTTGGCAAGCCCTTGCTTATGACAGTTTCTGCTAAGTTAGCTGGTTCCTGTCTTTTAGAATATGTTCAAGCTCAAAAGCCAGACTAGGTTTCTTCTGGAAGCTTAAATGTGCAAGATGGCTTGTCATTAACTCTCAACTCCCATGGTTCCAAGTCTCAGGAACAGGTGGATGTTGTCACTAACCCACAGACTGGATTCTGCCTATGGATCTAAGTAAATGATAGATTCAATGGGATGTGTTGTCTTTGCTCACTGTGTCACATGCTCCCCAAAGAAGACCTCAATGAGGAGAAAAGGGGATAAAAATGGGGGAAAGAATAAGGAACAAGTCAAAGCAATCCTTTGGAGCTAGAGAGACTGTGTAATCTCACTTGGCACTTAAAGGTTTATCTCCAGGCTGAGCTCTTGCAGTAATGTTTTATCCCCGTTTGACCTTCCTGCCACATTTGACAAAAATTCCTAAGGCTAATGTGTGTTATAACGTGGGAAGATACTGAGGTGTTCATTTCCTTCGTTTCTGTAGTGTCCCACACATTGGAAAGTTGAGTGCGATTGTCAATAAGAGGAGACTCTGCAATGCCCATGCAGGATTGGCATGGGCCCCCGGTGGTGAGAAAGCTGAGAGATTTTTAAATGCTCCTGAGGAGGGGGAGAGGGGTTGGGGAGGTTCTCTATTGACAAAAGACAAGTTACCAGCAGCCAAAATGCAGACTGTCACAGTAATTTGTATACTTTCTCTGAAATGAACTACAGAGATTCTACCCTTTGATTTCAAAAAGTAAAGGTAAGGGCTTGGGAGAATTTCTCTTTCTTAGATTGGAGAACTCCAAGCTGAAGCTTGTGCTCTGTTTACTCAGAGTAAACAGCAACCTACACCTACAGAGAACAGAGCAGTTGAATTAGAGAGAGGGATTAGAGAGAAAATATGAGAAAGTTA